CCCAAACATTTTAGTCTCTTACCAGAAAGTATCTCCCACGTTCATGAACAGTAAAGCCACCGATTGCATTCCGGTAGAGACGTGCCGGAACCGTACTTGACACGGCAAGAGTGGGCCCGGTATTTGTTGAGCTCGTTTTTTGGGGTCAACACTATAAATGACTGAATATGTTGTAGTGTTCGTTGGGTAATTTTCTCTCAAAATTGACCAAACTTCTTTGCAAAAATATTTTTACCCACGTTGATCACAATTTTCTCTAAAATCTTCTTCTTTGTGCACCACATGAGGGGTTGCCTTGGGTTTTAATCATTTCCATTCCCATCAAAATTTAAGTAACACTTCAATCTCATAAATTTGGAGAGCTACGTATGGTATTAGAACGTCAGAGATGACCATTTATGGTATGTGAATTAGCGAAAACTTAGAGGAAAGAATAAAACTAGAAAAAACTCAAACTTATTAGGTTGTACATGGATGCATCAACAATTAGTGCATTTAACAATTAGGTTGTGTTTGATACACCACATTTTCCATGGAAAATATAATTAGTTTTCCATTTTCCAAGTTTTCCTTTGTTTGATACGTTTATTTTCTAGGGAAATGGTTTTCTCACTTGAGGCCACACGGTCACATTTTCTTGCTTCTCCTTGAAATCATTTTCTCACCACTTAGGTGGAAAATGGTTGTCCAAGTGAATTTTTATTTTTATTTTTTTGGCAATTGAAAAAAATTCTAGACATAATGGTAAAAAAAATTTTACTTTTATTGACAATTTTCATGTAAAACAAAGTCAAACGAATGACATTCAGTATATTAATTTTTTTTTCAATTTTTTTTGGCAATTGGAACAAATTCTAGACCCAATGGTAAAAAAAATTATCACTTTAATGGACAATTTTCATAAAAAACGAAGTTAAACGGATACCAAACTTTCAACATTTTTCAAGTGGAAAATTATACCAATCAAACACAATTAATTACAATTCTCAATAAAACAATTTCTAAGTAATTCATTTATCTGTAAAACATTTTCTTTCTACCCATTTTCCACATTTGCAATCAAACGGATCCTCAGTTCTCCTTCAAATGAACTGAGCTTCAGCTTAGGATCCATAGGCAATGCAACTGGTTTACATGCCAGGAATTCAGTGTCCTCAAGTAATTTCAGAGTTTACTGTCGTTGAGATATAAAGATCCCCTTTTGTGACCTTGCTATTCTGCAACTCATAACAGAAGATAGCTATTCTACAACTCATCAAGAAAGACAGTTCACTATTGAAAGGCAGCTCACCATTGAACACATGCAAGCAATGTCACTGGAGCCAGCTATCAGTTAGGCAGTTAGATTAGTTAATCAAGTTTGTTCTTCACGAATAGAGCAATCACCATGGCTCGACTCCATGAAGCATAATTGTCACCAGTAAGAAGTTGTGACACGAGCACAAGCCCCGAGTTGTCTAAATGATGAATGTAATAAGGATTAGATCCATCATCAATGGCGGAATTACTCAATGATATGGAATTGTTCTGGCTTGGTGCATTCACTGCTAATGCCATAACAGGCCAGAAGTAATATGATCAGAAGAGAATAGAGATTCAATTGCATTGTAAAGAAGCAGACAATAGATGCATACAATTCTTTGATACCATATTGAAGAATTGAAGCAAGAAAAATGAATTCAATTATATTGCCACCATACATTACAAAGTGTTGTTATAAATAGAGAAATGAAATCAACAAACTAACTCTAACTAATTCAGTTGTACAAATCAATACGAGGTGAACACATGGACTTGATTAACTAATCTAATTGCCTAACTGATAGCTGGCTCCAGTGACATTGCATGTATGTTTTCAATGGTGAGCTGCCTTTCTTGATGAGTTGTAAAATAGCCGTCTCTTGTCTTCTGTCTTCTTTCTGTTAAGAGGGCTAGGGAAAATAATAACTACGATGACTTTTGCGGTAGTTTTTAAGTATAGGTGTAATGACTATAATAGGAAAGTAGCAGAGCGAGTCCTCATTTAGTAAGGTTTACAAGTACTATATATTTATTTTTGTTTTAAAAAAAAAAATCTTGTTGATTACAAAGCTTTACTTACGTTCTCCTATATTTATCTTTCTCCTTCCCTTCTTATGACACATTTCGTTAAAAAAATTCATAATTATTCTAATATATTTTAGTGAGCAGCCAAGCTGAAATAAAAAGTAAACTCCTAATATCTTTTATAAAAGCATTCTGAGGAGAATGTTCAACTTTGAATATTATTAGACTTACGTTTAATGTTATAAAATCAATTGAAACCTTACGCGTACCAGATATTTTGAGAAGTGATCTTGTGAAAAGTGAAGGTGGCGTTCTCTTTGTCGTTTTCTGTTTTCGATTTTTCAAAACGGCGAAAACGCGTTCTCTTCGTCATTTTCGAAAATGGAAAAAAAAATTGTGAAGAAAATAGAAAACGGCCAAAAAGCCGTTTTCCACGTTTTCTTCACAAATGTAGCTGAAAATGGAAAACACGGGAAATGCCCAAAACGATTTCCTCCTTTCTGTTGCAACACAGAACAAACCCCTTCCTCCTTTCTGCTGCAACCACACTCTACCGCCACTTTCAAACCCCCCAAACTCCGACCAACCTCCTCCAAAATGACCGGATTAATAAACCACTGTGAAGCCCTCAATCCCCTCTTCAATTACCACACAAACAACAATCAGTCATACAACAAAATCAAAGAAAAAAAACCTAAAAAACTGATTCAGCACACCTAGCTTCTGCAGGAATCAG